AAGACCAGATGGCACCAAAACAGAGCTGAGATAAACTTTGTTAAACAATCTTTCAAAGAAAATATATTCCTATGTCAAACAAATCTAACTCAAAAGTCTCAATTTCCAGCTATAACATAGAATAAGGCAATAAACCATGTCTTCACAAAATCAAAATGTTTGCTTCATAGTTTTTAACTCATGGTTATTTGCAATATTTTTATTCGAGGTGATTTTGGGTGTTGCCATAATGTACCTTCAGTATTCTTGATGCAAAAGCACATAGAGCAAAAATCACAGGACGTTCTTGGGGTTGAAAGGATTTATTTAGGTTAGACCACGCTTTTTTCCACTTAAAGTACAGTCAGCCATATCTTGTCTGGTTTTATTTACATTTACCAAGAATTCTGGGTGTCAAAGTGTAAATTGAAATATACCTTTTAACTAAGAAAATTGATTAGACTACAAGACTAATACCACAAGTTACTGCTTTTAACATAACACAAGTGGGGGGGGGGGAGGAAGGGAAAATAATGGAAGAGCATATAAATCAGTGTGTGTTGTAATAATTTTGTCCTTTTAGCAGCTTTAAAAAAAAAAAGTAAATTTGGCTAGCATTTGACAAGACTGACTTTAAGAACATTGTATGTGTGTAACTTTAGCAAATCTCTCAAGTGTTTTTTTTCGAGCAGACTTAGAAAATAGCTTATGGTTTGCTTTTTCAACCACATGAAACTTGTATGAAAGACAAAATAATTACAACACCATTGAGGGGGGGAAAAACCTAATTACACTGTAAAATTTAAAAAAGTTCAGTTAACTGCTTAAGTAGCAAGCCTTTTTCATCCAGCCGGACACAGTATTTTTTAGTATGTTAACTGCTATTCTTTTCTTTTGGTTGCATAAATCTGTAACACTTAAGTGTCTTGGTATGTTTAAGTAGTGTCTGAAATAGAATATCTTAGTCTTTATTCACAGTACTTCTGTATAATGTGTAATGCACTGGACTAACTCTTGTTTACCATTCATGTAACAAAAACCAGCACATTATCTGCACTAAGCTCAAAGAATGTTGCATTTGTCTATAGGCAGCTCTTCAATAAGATAAATGGGAAACTGAATATGGTCTGATGGTAAACAAGGGCTTTTACTGTTCTCTTCAGTGGAACTTTCTTCTTGGTCAAATTTTAACTAGTTAGTATTATATTTATATACAGGGTCTTCTTTTTCTTTACCAATGTATTTTCCTACTCATAGCTGACCAATAAATCCAATATCTGTTTCAAACCTTCTTGAAGTCTAATTCATATTTTAACTTAATTCCTAAAGCTTTTCCCGAAGAATTGCGCATACAGCCAAAGCGAGTGAAGTGTGGTAAGGGTAAAACGGAAGCATTGATAATCCCTGAAAGACTTTCCTGTACTTTCTGTTACTTTCTAGATCCGCAGACCAGAAAGCTGCTTGAATCAGTTGGGTTTGAATTGCAAAGTGAAGGCCTGATTAGTAATGCCTCCAGAGTTTTTGGAAAACCTGGTTCCAAACCTGCTCTGATCTCAACCCCATGTCTTCATATCTGGCCATCTTCTGACCTTCCCATGCCAGTCGGTAAGGTCAGTTGTGCAGTGTAGGGTCCACAGGTTTTGTCTGGGTCCTGTAGACCCTGCTCCTTCCTTCCTCTTCCCTTCCCATCCCAGAAAACCCAAAGTGGACTTGAGATCTGACAACAGGAAGGCATCCAAAGATTCCATTAATTTACCACAGAAGGAGAACAAAGTGAAGATTTCTTGCAATTTTTTCTTTTTTCTTTTTTTCACGAATGAGATTCAGCTAACTTTTGTCCTTAGGTTATTTTAATATCATGTTCTTTCTGCAGGAATTTCTTCTTTCTGTATCAGAGTGTATGTGTAACAGTGCAGACTCTTGTGTTTTATATGATGTTCCCATCATTAGCAGCAGAAAACATAAAGCATCTGAGCACACTTGCTGTGTAAAGCTCTGAAGCACACAAGACATCTCACTGGCACCCCTGCATCTCTTCAGAACTTGGGTTCAGCACATTGGTACTGCTTTGCTTTGAGATAAATGATGGATCATTTCAGTGTTTCATGAATGACACATGCCCTAGAGTGTTCAGCTTGTTTGTAGTTTTAAAATTTGCTGTCTTGGAGCAGCTCTTACGTGTAGAGTGATGATTCCTTTCGAGATTTCAGCAATGATCTCTCTTTGGTTCTGTCTCATGGGTGAGATTTTAATTCCCACCATCCCATTTGCAGTCATGCCACTAGATGGTGTGGGTAACACAGGCTTTGTGTGCACGGAGAGCGAACGGATTTGGGAGTGCCATCCGGAAAGTGTGGCTTGTGGAATTATTCTTACAGAGTATTTGTGGGAATTCAGGCCCAGGAATGAACCTTTTCCAGTGGCAGCAGTTGGTTTGGTAATGTCCACGCCAATTAAATACTGGCTTTAGAAATCCAGCTGTCATGATGGGAATGAAAAGGACCTACTTTGTCCTCAATGGTAAAATCATTCTAGGGCCTTCGCTTGCTGTATTTAATCTACTTAATGCTATGTTTTAAGATGAGTACAGTTGTTACATGGTTCCAAATCAGAGTTTATGAGCTCTTAAATAATACCTGCTAACCTGGCATGTAAGTATTGGGAGATTTGGGAAACTCTGTGCCAAAATTAATGGAGAGCCTGGTGTCCTGTCCAGAGAGCATATATGGAAAACAGCATCGCTCACTCAAAGACAAGGATTGAGTTGAGCTTGTGTCCTGTGGTCCTAGGCCAGGTAGGATAAAATTTGTTTTTCCTTAACTTGCAGTAAAATAACTACAGCTATTTTAATATTTGAATACAAAATCACTCTGGTCAGGCTCCTCGGTACTGGTCCTTCATAGCCCATGTCTGCTGGCTCTTCAGTGATAGTACAAAGTTGGGTTTGTGCCTTGTAAGGTGGGAATTTCCCAAATCAGTGCGGGTGACTGCGTGGCATTTCTTTTCTGCTGACACAAGTAGGCAGAGGAGGCTTAAAACATCTGGAATTGAGCCCCAGGAGAGAGAGGGAAGGCGGAGAAACTGAGAAGAAGGTAAGTGGAAAGGACAAGAAGGTACATCAGGTGACCTTTTGGGAGAAGCCATACTTCATTAAAGGCAAGTATTCTGGTTATTTCCTTGCTTTTCATTTTCCCCTCCTAACCCAGAGGCACTAGTTGTTCTCTGTCTAAATGTTCGCTTACTCTGTTTGCATAGAAAGCAGTAAGGCTAATTAAGCTATAGGGACCTTTGGTGCATTTGAATATTTTCTTATTCCAAAATAAGCCTAGTATTCTCACAGATTATCAATTTTTAAAAGAGAAGAAGGTGTATTCTGGTTAAATCTTCCCAGTGTGTCAGTGGACAGTATTTACTGCTTCTAAAAATGCTAGCTGTTTATTGTAAAAAACCATAACATTACAGCAAATAAAAACATACGTACACTCCTGCTGGGTTTTAATGACCACAAAGATTTAAGCTGCATCTACTTGTTCGTAGCAGTTCTTCTAGTTAGTTTAGTTTAGTTTTTCTAGTTTTTTTCTAGTTGTTTTCCAGGTTTTTATTTAGTTCAAGATACAGACTGCTCCCTTTGGGTGCCAATAGTGAATTAACAGTAGTTTCTCCACTGTGGCTAACAGTATTGATAGGTCTTCAGAGGCTGGATTTATTGATTTTATTTCCCTTCTTCCTTTTCACAAAAACCAGCATACCAGTTAACAGTCTGCTTTTTGGCCAAGAGGGCTAAGACCCGTTGTATCTAAAGACCTGAACCAAGCTATGTGCTGGCTTTGCTCACCCTGGTAGCAAGACACCCCCAAGACACAGATTAGATGGAGGAAAGCCTAGAGATGCACAAGGATTTCTTTTAACCATCTCCTCCCCTCCCACCTCTCCCTGATAAAGCTGTGGGAGAGAGGAATGTGAGGAATTGCGTACAAGTTGCTCTCGTGAGCAGCGTGGGGTGAAGGGAAGCATCCTGCCTGACATTGTGTTTGGCAACGTGGCATCCCCCATGGCAGGGCTGTTGCTTCTAACACATCAGTCACTTGATGAGGTTACACTTTTTCTTTTCTGATTTAGTTGTTCCCTGCAGTTTTCTGGGCTCTGTGAGGACACGAGCCAGGCTCCAGCGGCAGACGCGAGTGCTTCACGCTCAGCGTGGTTGCGTGGCGTTGGGATGCTGCAAACTGAGTTCTTGTTAGACTTGTGCGCTTGTGCAGGTTGTGGGGCAGGTAAGCTGCTTCTGCGGAAGAGTTGCTGCCAAAATCTCAGAAATACGAATTACAGGTTAGTGTGCAAAGGAAGTGAACGGAGGTACTTCATAGTGTCTTGGTTAACACCTCTGAAGACTGAGCTTCCTTTGTCTCGACATGGTCACGAGTTTTCCAGTGAGTAATAGCAACTATATCCAGTAAAAA